TGTAGTAACAGTTGTACGGGGAGCCCAGCATTTTACTGTGGCTGTACCTGCTCAGCGCAGAGTGGATACTATCGGCATAGCCCACATCTCTTCTCTGGTAGTGGCTGGGGCAGGATATCTGTGAGGAGCGTGATGAGGCCACACTGTCAGTCCCCGGGAGCACTCCAGCCACACTGCAAAAGTAAAATTGCTTTTTATTTAACAGCTTTTGATAGCATTTTTCATCTGTTTGCAACCACGTATCTTCCAAACCTGTCTGCTCTTCAAAACTCCTGGCAAAAGAACAATGATGACAAAGAAAAAACCCTGAGATCTGCTAAAGAGGCCACAGCTGCAGGGATGGATCACCAAACACTCTGGCTTCAGCAAAATGTTCAGCCCCTCTGAGCACATGCTGGACCATTGTGCCTGATGGCCAGGAGCTAACATGAGCTGTTCAGGTGCCGACATCTCTTTTTCTCTCCCAGTGATGAGGGTATGTCTGTGCAGAGAGGCTTAAGGACACCAGTGCAGGGGCTGTGTGAGCAGAGAGGTGTATCTGGGCCACATTTTGACAGAACTAGAAAAACAAAAACAACCTTTATCACAAGTGCCATTTGGGTGCCCCTAGAGAGAAAAAAAAGAGGTGGAACTGCTGGGGAGATGTGCTCACCTGGCGCACCTGGTGTTTGCATTGGCCTTGGACTCGCCTCCAAAGATGCCTTTCAGCTCCCCAGCACCCCCAGCCTGAGTCCATTCTCTTCTGCCATGCAGACTGGATGGCACACACTTGGAAAGAGATTAGAAACATCACAAGCCTGTTGATTCACTGCTGATTTACCACAGGAACCTTCACTATAATTCTTACTATGTAGTTTAATGTCCACAGATCATGTCTTCATCTTGAAAATTGTAAAGCTGGGAAACAGAACTGCTTTTAGAGTAGCACGTTAAGAGCAAAATCCTGCTCAGGTCTTTGTGTTGTGGGCTCCAAAGACCTTAGCATGTGACCTCTTGGGAGCTCTTGGCTGTTTCTGGGGCTTCATCCAGAGTATTTGCATTTGTGCTGGTTAAAAAGCCTGCAGCAGGATCCCAAAACTTCACGGTTAAAACTGCCTGTGCAGCAGCTAACAAGCAAGTTAAATACCTAATAAGAAAAAATGACAAGTATTTTTGCTACACTTACATACTCTCATGGGTATCATGAAGCCAAGCTCTCAGTTTATCAGGGACCTGAATTTAAATAGTTTTTTCCAAGGTGCCAAAAAAGGTGGCAGATAAGGATGCCAAGTTACTATAGTAACCATGAGAAAAGTGGTGATTATCAGCAATACCACATAGAAAAGACAGACTGGATTGTCTTTTCATTTTACATGTAGCCCATTGCTTAAAAAAGTAAGCCCTTTTCTAAAATAAAGAAATACCATGAAAAAAATAACCTGAATATGAAATGCATCATACAAAATTATTTTCAATGATGTTTCAGCCTCTGCAAGCTTGCTGTTTGACCCAGAGTTTAGAGGATGTGCTCTTAAACAGAATGCTTTGTGGCTGAAGGATATGTAAATAATAAAGTATGGATTTTCAAGCTTTCTCACCTAGTAGTGACAGTGCTACAAGATCAAAGATTTACAAAATTCTAGCAGCTGCTTGGAGGAGTCCATGGTGGTGCTCACATGTATTGGCCTGTCTGAGCTGCTGCAGCCCACCGAGATCTAAAGGCTGAAACTTAGTTATTTGGTTGGGCTCCAGAGAAAACCTCGGTGGATGGACCTAAGGCAAAAAGCATGAGAGAAATGTGGAGAATCATTCCAGCGACACAGAAACACAGTGCTCTGGGCTGTGGCTAAGAAGCCTTTAAGGTATTTCTTATTCTCCTGAACTATCTGAAAGATGGCTGACGGTGTTTTTTAGCAACTGGAAACAAACCAGAGATGTCTGTCACACCTCACGTGCGGAGGGAACATAGAAGTGCCCGAGAGACCAATTGATTGACTTGTGATCTGCTGATTCCAGCAGCTCTACCAGACTGATTTCAGTTCCCCTATTTTCAATGCACATCTAAGAAACTTTAAGGAAGCCTTACTAAAATTTACTGCATTTCAACACTTCTGATCCCCAAAATAACTGATGCTGGGTCTGTAGAAATAAATCCCTACAGACAGTTTCATTGACCTGAAACTTTATACCCAGACATAGGTCTTTAACTGTTGGAAAGCATGCTCTAGTGAGAATTAGGTGATTCTCATAGACTAAAACATTACATATGACTGCTAGGAGCAAATCTCTCTGCTCATCATCACTTGCCATAAATGCTGGCTTTTGACAAATTGGCTAAACAAAAAGCATGCTGCATTCCAGCAGTGCTTCAGTTCTAGGTTCACACGATGATGGTTAAAAAAAAATACTGTGAGCAAACCTTAGAGTCCTTGTAGCTAAACCTTTTGTCCCACTCAGCTCACAGGTGTTGTTCACAGCACTGCAGCAATCAATCCCCACGGATGTCGAAGACATAAAGCTGCTAACTAAAACACAAAGGGCGAGGATCCCAAACTGCTGATTTTCAAAAGCAGGACTTACTTATAAAATACTGCTGTGCTAACAACAGGAAAACAGAGTGTATCAGGACTTGCCTATGAACCTGTCTGGAACAAGACTGATGCTGACCCTAGTGCTGCTACCTGCTGCCTCCGTATCCCATTAAATGTGGGGATAAGAGGGTGGAGTCTCCAAGGACTCCCTTTTACCCAAGCTTTGGATGTCCACTGGAACACTTTTCTACGTGACACATTAGTGACTGCCAGCTCTGAAGCCCAGACAAGCATTATCTAGCCAGACTGGCATTGGCAGACAACCTGTCAGACCTCTGCAAACAGCAGACACTAGAGTTTGCAGCCAGTATTTTTATTTTTTCCCTTAAAGTGAGCAGTTAGCTCAGTAGCATTAGTGATCCAGCCTGGATTCACAGTGCTGCCCTAGGACATCCAACTGCTCCTGTGAGACGCGTAGCTATGAAAGGAGAATTAACAGGACATTTTAAATAGCCATTGCCACAGACACAGGGAGCATGGTCCTGATCACTAAATGATGTAAAAAAGAAAGTGGTTAGATATGCAGAAGCATGTACAAGCTAGCATCTGATTTTTGAAGGTCAAAATTATGATTTCATTGAACTTTTAAACTCATTATGGTATTAGCAAGAACAGGTACAAATCTTTCTGGGAGAAACAGGCTAAGGCAGGGTAAGTAAATTATCTCAACACAGTATCTGTCTTCCGGGGGATTTCAGTGCTACTCGAATCAATTTGTGATGATATGTTTGTACCTGCCACAGAAGCCAAATACACAATCTGATCTTATGCCAAGTCACTATTAACAACTGCATTTTCAATTGATTCTAGGATATTCATTAACTGAGATCCATAATTACATATAATTTACAGACATATCATTTTAAATCACTTGCCAGTGAGCTTACTAAGCTCACTTTATGACATTCAAATACATTATTCTTAAAAATTCACTGAGTAATCAGGTTGCAAATAATTACAGTGGAATAGCGCTGGATATAATCAAGTAGAAACTTAAAACGAGAATCACCAGAAACGTCTATAGATCACTTTTGCCACATGCTTTTGCCGTTACCTTCTACCGTCTCCAGAAAACTGTTCTGTACTGAACTGGTGGACTCCAAAGCTGTTCACTAACTCAACTCCATTACAACACAACTCCTTGGGCTTTTTGTTTCATGGGTAACCCTTGCCCGACACCTTTTCTTCAAGACCAGGCAGCTGATTTTTTAATGATTTACTTACCCTTTGAACAAATGTCCTGTTGGTATTGGGATCAAGCAGCTCTGGGGCTGGAAGTAGCAGCCACAGCAATGCAGAAACATCGGGATCAGGTTAACTGGTTTTTAGAGCAGACAAAGCTTGACATGTCTCCATGCACACTATTTTATTCATTATTTCACATAATGATTTCATTTTCAAAGGCTATATGTGATCTGGTTTATATCTACAGTCTTTCTCCATAGCCAGTAGGGATATTTTATGTACCATAGAAGAAAATTGCAGAGCAACGCAGGCAATTTAAAACTCTAAGTTGGAACTTCAGAACTCTCGCTGAAAACTGCACTGAAACCCAATACAGATGGGTTAAATAAATTACATTCTTTTATTGCAAGGTGTAATGGAAAACCTCAATACAAGCACGTGAAGACTTGCACTCTGAGCACAGCTTGCCATATGAGCCATATACACACCTTCTTGACTTACACGAAACAAGGCTCCAATTTTTGAGTGTGGAAGCTATCAATCCTACTGCTCTTCAGTTGTACATTAAATTACACCAGTAAAGTAGACAGTAGCCGGTACTCTCAGAGTATTTAGCTTTATATTTACCCTGTTGTAGTCTGGATTTATAAACTGCCCACATACACACCCTGAAGTGCAGCACACTGCACTACCCTGGAGCTTTGGCACCAGCCCATTACTGTAATATACGACAGTAGAGAATTTCTTGAAGATGAGGAAAATACTGCTTTCTCTGACAACTAAAGGGAGAGAGTGAGTTTATGATCTGGAGGCCTTTGAACAACACATTGTATATCTTAGAGTACAAAGAACAATATTGCTCAGAACCAATTAAAAATACACAGCAAGCAAGTAACGATCTTTCTTTTTATTTGAATAAAACCATAACTTACAGATAAACACCACAAACCTTCTTGATTCAACCTAATTTGTTTCCATCTGGAAACACTGTAAATAAATTAGACTAACAAATAATGTCTTAGTCACAAGGAACATTTATGTTATGTGATTTTCCACTGCATTACAACTTAATACAAAACTAAAAAAAATAAGACACTATTTACAAAATATATTACTTTGTTTGCAAAACTATTAGCTAATTTAGATTTTAAGTTATACGACAAATTCTATAGTTCAGTCACACTTTACAAACAGTTAAAAGATAAACCTACTCTGAATACAAAATGGTATCTTCTCATGATCCAACTACGCCAATTCATAGTACTTCCCAGAATCTGGATCAAAGTAACAGTTCAGACATGGATCATACAAAAGAGTCAAAATTTCATCTTCTTCAGTGCTGAGGTCATCTTCACCTGTGTCAGATGGGAAAAGTAAGAATAAATCACTTTTATTTACTTAGACAATAACATGGAAATATCTTTTGTCACGTGACAGAATTTTTCTTTAAAGTGTATATCTTTTGACTTCTGAATTGTTACCTTCAGATAATAAAAATTCACATTTTTATTGTATTTCTGAAGACTCGTATTTAGTTGGGGTGAAATGATATCAGTCACAGTTTCCTTAACAACTGGACTTTACAGTAAAGTCCAATGGAGAAGTTAACCTTTACTCATAGTGGTTCAAGGTATTCCTAAGTGATATTTTTCTTAAAGACATTCTTAAAATACATTTTATAATGAACAAAGATAGTGTATATCAGAATGAAAGAATTTCAAGATCTGGTATCCAATATGTCACCTAAATGTCTAGTATAGGTAGATCAGTACAAAAGGACTTTCAGTATCAGAGAGGAAATAAGAGTCTTTCAGACAATAAAAATGTTAATCTAGGTTGTCTGAAGTTATGTAAAAGGCAAGAATGTTTTCAGGTAACAGAAATTAATCCTTAGCCTAAAGCACACTGATAAAGCCACATAGACTTTTATTACAGAAGCTTTATATATTGTAGCTCCTTTTCAAAACCTGTCTGTCTTTCACATGAGCTAAATTTAAGTCATACGACCTCTAGCTTTTGAACGGGAAATAATTCACAGTTGAACGTAATTTGTATCTTGGATTTCATCAGAAATGTTCATCTCCTCCTCGGACTGCTAATACGAACTGAATGCTTTGTATGCCCTAACACTTCATAATAAGTAATGGCCTGTTATGCTAACAGCAGCAGTTTCGCAATGCTCAGGATCTATTTACAGCCAGGATCACACGACGATATGTAGGTTACATTATCTAGAGACCAGAAAGTAGGTTGATGCATTTAATGAATACAGAAGAGGTACGTACTTTATCGTTTCAAAAGAAATCTAATTTTTTTCCTCAGTAGCATTAACAAATGCCATCAGAAAGAAACTGTCTTTTACTGTAGCCAAAGGTAAAAAGGTAAAGCTAAATTGTTGTCCTCCCTGCTGTGGGTACTTCATCAGGCCCAGTAAGCTAAATGAGGTTAACTGAGAGATTTTGTTTGGATGGCTCTTGGGAAAAATTACGCAGCGCAGGAAGAAGGCATAAAACTGAAAGTCTTTTTCTACCCTTCCTATCATAGTATACAAGCAAATGGTATTCATGCCTCATTCCCTCACATAGCCTTACATTTCCACCTGAAACCATGTTGTTATTTCCACTGAGTTCTTTCTTATATTATTTTGCTTTTCCCTTCCTATGATTCTCTTCAAGACGATTCTCTTCTCTAAGCTTAAATCTCCTTCCCTCTTTACCTTAGAAGTGGCCTCTCAATATACTCTTCCTGGTTTGATTTAGAATAAGAAATTCTTCAGACTCATCAGGGGTATACCTCTTTCTCTGTATGCCCTGAATTCGTACCAAATCAGAATTAGATTGCATCCAGGACTAGCTGGATTTATACCTCTATAGCAGTAATTCCCCACATGTATTTTCATGCGAGCAAGAAGATAACTTAGTTTTTCAGAAGTATGTTGTTTTTAAAACTAAGCTTCTTTCATTTAGCATCTCACAATATCTGCAAATACATTTTAAAGTATTCCTAGATGTTGCAACAGTTTTCCAATGGAAGCATGGAGATATCCACCCTGTTTCCCAAGACAATCTTTAAGAAAAAAGGGGATTTGAAGAAAACAAGGTATTTGTTTTATTCTACTCTTGCTGACTTTCTAGTTTCAGCTAAGTTCTTTGCCATTCACTAAGCAAACATCATTAATAAACTAAAATCTGCAACACTTTAGGTGATGACAACAGTCTTTACTCAGGATATCATGCTGAGATTTCACTTAAGACTAAGTTACACATAAGTGTAACTGTGCTTCTGAATAAGCATGTTTAGTCTTTGCATTCTTTCTTTCATAGGTTTGCCATGCTCACCAGCATAAATTTCTTATTCTAAAAGATAAAAGGCATTTTTAATGAGCTAATCTGTATTGAGCCAGAATATTAGGAAAACTGCAACTGCCTAAGTTATTCTTCTATCAGAGGCAAGGAAAAATCTGCTAGCTTGAGCTGAGAATAATAAACATGAGAACTTGGAACTAAAATGTAGCACTACAGGAAACTACAAAAAGGCAGCACGAGCACTACAGAAACAGCATTTAGAAATGTCTTTCTCCCCAGGTACTTTTCATTGTCTTCATGAACTCCTACCTGGAATACTCTGATTTGTTGAAGATTTAGTGTGCTCTTCCAGTTGTTGGCTTCCAGGAATGATGGGGGGACTGAAAACGTTCGACCAGTCCCTGAAAAATACAAATGAAAATATCACTCATAAAGCACAGGTTTTGTTCCTATTTGTTCTAATTCTTTAAGTAAAAAAAAAGAAATCAAAGGAAACTGCAGGTTGTTGAACATGATGAAACAAAATCAAGCTGGATTTTATTACTATAAAAATAAACTTTACAGTTAATACAATTCTTAGATGCTAAAGTTTTCTTCATTACTTCGCCTTTTCAGCTGTTCTGCTCGCACTAAAATCTGTGTTTTAAGCCAGGTTTGCTTTGCAGATTTCAGCTGGTATTGCTCTCTCAGCAAAAAGTGTGATCCATAAGCCACAGAGCTACACTTTGAAAACCTGTGGGACTCAGGAGAGGCTTTTTCCGAGGAATAAAGACTCGGGATGAACAATCCGTGTTTGGTGAGGAACTATGGGGGGTCAATATGATTAAAAATCCTTAGCCCAAGGTAAAAGGCTTAAAGACAATCACAAGAGATGTGCCTGGTTACGAGTGACTCGGCACTACCTGGAGCCCCTGTCTCGGTGACACAGCAAGAGGCTGATCACTCACAGGCTGGGTGGTGAGCTGGAGCTGAGCTTAGACCAACAGCGTGACACCAACTCAGTGCTCGTGAACAGCAGGACATCTGATTTGTACTAAAGAACTTAATCTTTCCAGTTTAATTTAACTTTAAAATTTTTCAATCAAGGGATGGAATTAGTAATCAGAGCTAAGAATAATATGCTAACCGTTTTCTAGTGGTTTTAAGGAGGAAACATTGAGTCAGGATGCTATTTTTGATAGTACTGTTGACATTTGTTAGGTAAATACATTATAAACAAGTGTTTATAATATTTTTTATTTTTATGTTATATGTTATAAAAAACTGTTATTGAGCATAAGATGATTTAAGTAACTGGCAAGACTATACAGAGCATACTTCTCATCACAGCTGCCACATATCAATTTTGCTTCTGCACAGAAAAAATTTTGATGGGGTCTTTATCACAGAGGAGGGAGTATGGCCCTTCTTCACCTGTTCAATTCAATAGGCAATTTACATCTCTCCTGAACACTACTTTGTGATAGCTTTTAAAAATGTTTTTTATGTTACCATACATCACGCAAAGTTCAATGTTCATGTCACATACACCACTTTATGATACACTGTCTCTGACTGTTACAGCTCAAAGAAAACAGAACCTTTTTATTGTTATTGTAACGCTTTTTATTGCAAACTGAACTGCAGATTTTGTCACTGAAAAAGTCACTCATGTTATACTATCAGAGAGAGAACCCATCTAAGTCACAAGGTTAAGACATTTCTTGTGCAGGTGACTATGTGTTGTAATTCTTTTCAAATACGAAACTAATCTCTGTACACTGTGCATAGGTGACGTGTCATTAAGCTCCCATCTCTCCTCTTCAACAGTAAAGAGCTTTTTAACACATTAAAGCTTCCATGTAACCATTAACTGGACTATTCAAATTGCAAGCTATAACTTGAACACAGAATCTGAGGGACTTGAGTAAATCACCTCTTTGACAGAACCAGATTCATCTTCTTTGACCAATCTACTTCACTGCAAGACAAAGGGAATTGAAGGGAAAAGGGGTCTTTAAATTTCTTTGTTTGCTTCGCACTGACAGGAACAACACAGCTCTACAGAATAAATGAAACTTGGTTTGGAGTTCATTCAAGTTATGTCTGGCCATGGCTGTTTCCACAGCTGGCACAAAAGCATTCTGCATGCCAATGTGCTAGAGGCCAGGGAGGTTTGCCGGAGCTCTAAAGGTAGCTTCAACATCCACAGCTTCATCTAGAAGGGAGGAATTTTTCCAGAGCTTGACAGATCTCTTTACACTGTCAGATTGTAATTGTCTCATCTCAACTGTCCAACACCAAGCAAACAGGTAATGTACTTCTGCTGTTTGAAAAGCCATGCTGACCTCATGTAAGATTTGTTTCTGACAGGGAAATCTGGTAAGGCTCAGTCATGTGTTAGAATTGCTAAAATATGCCAATTGCCTTTTTTTTTTGTTTGTTTTGTTCGTTTTTCTGCTACTTCTGGACTAGTTATTGATTCCACATCATCTCCTGTTGGCATGTATACATAATCTGGGGTGAATCAGGGGACAAACACCTATCTGCTTGCAGTCAAAAAGGAAAAAACTAATTTTCTGCCTCAGGAAACAGAACTGCTGGTGTAGAAATCCAGCAAATTTAAAGGAAGAGGTATTGAATTTTCCATCATTTCAATATGTAAAAATCATACTTCACAATTTTTTTACACCATCATATTATTTTCCCATATATGGCCAACTTCACAACCAATCCTTCCTCTCTTCTGCTGTTCAGCTAATGCCAGTGAGAACTGGTACAACTAATCCACGCAGCAATATGCTTGCCTAGACATCTCATTACTAGCTCTCTGTCACTGCTCACCATATTTGCACTCCCTGAATACAGCCAAGCACTCCAAAGCTTCACAAGTTTTTAGGAATAACAGTTAAATTCACGCTACAATATCATACAATTGCACTGAAACACAATGTCATCAATGGAAATCTCTCAGGGAAACTGTGGCAATTTCAGAGAAGGTAAGGAAGAACTACTAATGCTAATCTCCATCTCCAAGAGACAATTCATTTAGAGAACAAGGGTCAAGGCAATCATATGTCATTAAACCAGTATTTCTTTTAAATTAATAGTTCTTATTACTCAGGAAATTTATGAATTTTAGTTGGAAGTCTCATCTCTGGAAGGCACTCCTGAAAGATCAAGTGTGAGAAATCAGACAGGATGATTTGCGAGTAGCTGGATGATTTTGTCTTACATTCATTGGGGTCAATTCTCATGTAAAGGAATTGTTCAGTTTCATCTTTATTTTGATGCATCTGGTTCAGTAGATGAATTGTTATTTTCTCTAGGAAGGGCAAGTGTAAGATCTAGGGATTTTGATGGTTCTAAAGGGAGGCAAAGGAGTTTTGATTTATAAGAGGCAACAGAGATGTATCGGCAAGTTTAATATTTCCTATTAAGACAGTCTAGATTTAGTTCATGTTTTTTTCTCTCAATGTCTACAAAATCGAATAGTTTTACTATTCAAATCCTTCCCACCAAGACAAGCAACCAAAAAACTATAGTATTATGGATTTATTGTTGACTTAATATTACTTTTCAGGTTGAAATATTTTACACTCTACATTATAAAGTGATTCAGTACTTTCACAAGTTAGCAATGTCTGAACCAACTCTTGCTAAAATACTGAAAAAATTGTAAAAAAACATCTCGTGTGCTGAAATCTTGGCTAAGTTGCAGCAGAGAGTAAACAGTGGCAGTTGATGATACAACGTCTGAGAAGTGAGTTTACATTAGTAATTCTGGTAGATGCTATATAGTAGCAGTCAAGACAAGAATTTTTTGCAATGAATTCTGCAGCTGCTTTTAGGAAGCAACTAAAGCATGTGTGTGTGAGACAGAGTTAATTAAAAAAAATCCTGAAAAATGTTTAGATCTTGCCTAAAAGTAGATCTCAGCATGGAGAAAACTGGCAATATTCTGAGAAATGCAGACTGTGACCTGTGGTCTCATTTTTTGTGTTTTTATTCTGACTGACTAAAGAATATTTTTTGAGGGAACTTCTTTAAGAAGCTAGTTTATCTCTTTAAAACAGAAAAGCTAATCACACATTTTGACTAATTAAAGATACTCCATTTATGCTATCAATGCCTCCAGCTGTAATCGATAGACTCAATGTGGAATAAACTATCTAGACCTTTCTTGATGACAATGTGGAATACTAAATACTGTTTTTTGACATTGTGAGTTGCACTGTGTGAAGGCTCAGAGTAGCTTCCACACTCATTCAAAGTTTCCTGCACCTTTAATGCTTGCTCTGAAATCCCTCATTATACTGAAAGATATTCTCCATGCCAAGATACAATAAAAAAACACTATATGATCTTGTTATATTAGGGTCTTCTCTTAAAAGAATACTTTAAAAAATAGTTGTCAAATATTGAAATATCACATGATAGCTGAACTATGATGGGAAGTTTTGGACTTATGAACATAATTTTCCAATGATAACGTATCAAAATTTTTACCATCAACAGAAATCTGAAGAATCAGAAGGTTTGATTTAATTCTTAATACCTTTAAAAAAATCTTAAAATTATTATCTTTGATACTTGGATTTTTTACAGGTATTTTTGCATTTTAGTCTAAATTATTGATTGGACTGAGAAAAAGGCAAATCACTCATTATAAAGATTTTTAACATTGAGATGAATTGAGATGGCATACTTCACTGCATTTCTTTTGGATCAGACTTAATTTGTATTAGTAAAATCAATTTAATCCATATTATTAACAAAATTAAAATGTTTCAAAGTTTTAGTATGGTTTTGCCCAACAATCTATAGAGGAATTAAAAGGAATATTCAACTTATTCTGTGAGTGTAGCAGTATACTTAAAAAATGCAGGGCAAGGGCTACGATATACCAAATCAGGGAATGGAAATACAGTATCAGTTTTGTATCATCAAAACCACATTAAATGGACAAACTACTAAGCATCTGAAGAATATAATAAACCAAGAACACAAAAGATGATATTTGACTGCAGAAACTACTTAGTAAATCTTTATGAATACGAGAGATCTTGCTTGTACCTGAGTGATAATAAGAGAAGCAAATTTGCTGAATTATTTTTTACAATGGATAAACTGACTAAAACTCTGAGGAAGGCCAGAGAATGCCAATAAACCTTACCATGATTCACTGAATGCAAAGTGCCAGCTCGTACCAAAAGTGTGGTGCAGTATAGCCTAAATATTCAACTCAGCTAAGATGAAGACCTATTTTTCCCCTTTGCTTGGATTTTTAATTATAGCTATTTAAGAGAGGTTGTTTGAGAATAAATCAGTTCTTAGATAAATCAATAGAAAGTCACCCAGCTTTGTCAGACCCCTCACCTATTCCCCGCTACGTCTTTTTTAGAGCATGCATTACGTGTTA